CAAAACGGCAGTAATGCGCGAGGGCGAGGATGTGGTTGGAGTGGAGTTGCTGCCCGACCTTGATCGCGAGGCTCGCGCACTGCTCCGCGGTATCGAAAGAGCGAAGGGCGAGGTAAAACGCCACGTACGCGAGCATCCCGCAGGTAATGTTGAAAAGCGTGAGCCGCGATCCATGATTGAGAAGTTCCTGACGGGGTAGCAACGTCGCCGCGGCGGAGCCTTGCATCGCGAGGAGCTTCGCTACGTAATTGTCGGGCAGGTAGGAGGTCCCTGCCCGGGTGAAGAGTGACTCCAGCATGTCTAAACCATCCATCGCGTGGCCTTCAAAGATATCCCGCAACATACGAGAGGTATTCACGACGTTCGAGGTATCCCCGGCGTCAGGGCCGATGCCGGATTGATTCTCCAGAAGAAGGCTTTTCATCGTTCGAAATCGTGGGAGAGGGCATTCTCGCGCCGTGGCCCGCACCCACGCCGCGAACGCTCGCGATGGATCGTCTTCCCGCCCCTCAATGGTCTTCCACACCGCCGAAAAGGAAGAAATCCAACGCGAGACCGCCCCGGCGAGCCTCGTCTGATGTTCGTAAGACGCACACGACCAGGCAACTGTTATCCACACTAGGAAGCTCTGCGTGGCGTTGCCGAGCGCCAACAACGCCCCCTCCTCGTCTAAATGGGAATTAAAAAGCTCCTCGGCGAGGTCGAGGACGTCCACGTTTCGCTGGGGTTCACGGAAAGGGTGGATCACCCCACAATTCTCCACGGGATCGACCGGGAACAACTCCACCAGGGTTTGACCCACGTCAAAGCATAACGCGTCGCTATGAAAGGTACAGGCCTGAAGTAAACTAAGGAGTAGCCGAAACCCCAAATCCCGAGGCGCCTCGGTGTGAAAATCCATCATCGATGGGGTTTGTGGATGCCGAGGTGGTAAGAATAGCCCTTCCTCGAGGTTCCGTAGTACCACATCAGCCGTCGGACGTTCGTCTTCCACCTCTTCATTTTCGTTTATTTGATCTATCCCGCTCGCCTGCGCTGCTAACGTAATTGCTTCACATAACCCATGGGTTTGGGTTGCTTGGTACGCTTGAAAGAAGTCGATATCACCCCTATTTCGATTTAGCGTCCCATGTGAGCCTACCTTTTCAGCACTGGGGATCGCACTTCCTTTAAGCTGCTTATTAGTGCCGTTTCTACCTTGTCGTCGATCATTCTGATCGCTCATAGGGTCTTTTTTTTCGTCGTTCTCCGTTGAGTTCCGTATCAGATTAATATACGCTACTTTTTGGATGTACCACGCATAAAGTGTTGAGGCGCACGTAGAGTTAGCGTGATACTTTGTATGAAGTCTTTGGAGGGTGCGCTCACAAAGAAGTAGCGCCACCTCAACGTTACTTGGTGCACTATCACTAAACGTAACATCGACGCTCTCAGGATGATTCACACGCATCGATACGATAAAGCGTACTGCTGCGTAACCGTGCAGGGCTTGGTTTCTATATCTTCTATTGTCTTAATGACGTTTGAATGATAACTGTCTGCCTATGTACCTTTTATAAATACAGAAATCACAATACACAAGCAAGTTGATCATGATGAAAGTGAAAGGAAAAAGTTATGACGCATTGTTGAAATGGTTGCTTTGAAGCATCGATTAAAGGGGAATACATTATTAAAGACATGATGATTGAGAAAACGACCACGAGTAGTCAGAACAAAAAGGGTGTGCATGCAGGATCACCAGTCTTAGTCTTCGGACTCCAAACTATAAGAACTCAATAGCTTCACACTGATGCATAATTCAAGGGAGAGCAGAGGAGATCAATTTATTAGTATGCGATCCCTTTTTTCGATCTCGTTACGCGTTGCTTCTAATTTCTCTTTGCTGCGACCGCTCAAGCACAAACGGTGTGCTTTATCTCGGAGCTCGCGCCTTTTTTTGGCCGTCAGTCTGCGCGGATGCGATTCGGATCCCGCCTCGTTCGATGCGATTTGCGAGTAGTTCAAAAAACACTTCGGACAGGCAACCCCACCTTTCGGGATCATGCAACGTGCTTTCGGCGTCATCCGGTAGGGCGAAAAGCAGGTGCGGCAGACAAATGGAATCTCCTGCTCCGAGAAGATCGTCAGCTTCGTGAGCTTCGTTCGACTGATGGTTTTGGCGACCTCCCGCACCACGTCGGGTCGCTGAATGGGGAGTGAATTCATGGGCGTGCAGACCTTCCCATGGCACTGCGGGCACCCTTCATAGCACGCTACCCGCTTGCGCAAACTACTTTGAAATTGATAACCGCAGTAGCGACAACGCCAGGAAAGCACCTGCTCGCTCCGAAGCGGGATCGTGCTCGGATCCTGATCAGGCCGAAGGCAAACCTCTTCCATAAGAAGCAAATCCTGCGAAAGAAAGTGCGCAGGCGATGCCTGGCGATTCCGCTGATCGGATGCATTGGTTGACGGGGTTTCCAAGCGCCCTTCCGCCCCTCGCAGCTCGCAGGAAGGGCAGAGCTGAATAACCTCCCCACGCGCGTCGCGGGGGGTTTTTTCTAATTTATTTTCATAACGCGCAACCCGACTGCTAATGGACTCCCGCCACGCGCGCGCGCATAAGGAGCAGCGAAACCACACCACCATCGCCGAGCTCGCGCGGACCTCCGACAGCGGCTGCACGACGCCGTTCTGCCAAAGGGAATTCCGCTCGTCATCCCACTGCGCGGCGATCAGAGGGTACCGCTCGACGAGAAAACCGGCGCGCCGCGCGAGGCTGGAAGGCCCGTCCTTCGGAAAAGGAGTTGAAGTCGCGGCGGCCGCGCCCGCGGGATTCCCCCGCGCGGTTTCCTCAGCCCGACACCCCGGGCAGCGCGTGGATTCCCGCGTCTGCGGGTTCACGCGGTCGGCGGGCCGCGCGATCCACCCCGCCCCGCAACGCGTGCACTTCCAGCTGACGGGATGCACCCACCCCCCGAGGACTCGAATCTCCACCACCGCCGTGCAAGGCTCCTCTTCTTTGGCCCCCCCTTCTCCTTCTCGTTTGGTTACGCTTTTGGGATTCAAACCCACGCGGCCGTGGAGAGGGCTGCGGGAGCTCCGTCGAATGAGATGCCGGAGAGTTTCTTCGTTCGCCTGGACGTCAAATTCGTCGCGAAGGAACGGCGCGAGGGAGTCGAGGATGAAGTTCACCCGCGCCCTGCCACCAGGGGTGGGAAAGGCTCGGAAGGGACTCCCACTGAGATATCGATTTGCCTGGATGAGGGCGATGGGGGATCGGAACCCTTGTCGACTAATTGCACGCATTGAAATAGACTCTGCACCAAGGCGCCGGGACGTTCAGTAAAAAAAAAATAGTACCTATATTTAGAAAAAAAAAAGAACACATAAATTATGAAAAACGATGGAATAAACATTAACCAATAGATCATACGTTATCAGCGTGTAGCACAGGATGGTTATGATTTCCCATATAAATATGCAAAAACATATATATGTATCTATTTATAAACAAAGGACTTCATCGGTTTAATGCATGCTCACGCCTGTAGTATTTTCGCTTACTCGGATAGCAGCCTTGCGTTGTGGAGTGCAGATTCGTTTTTTCGTATTCGTAAGCACCAGTTTAGATGCTATGCTGCTGATCTGAAGCGCAAAGGTACCCAAATCCTCCTGCTGCAAGACACTGCGAAAGATATCATCGGGTACAACGATGCCCACGGAAGAGCTTAAAAGATTCGAAAGAGGCACCTCATCCTCAGAAACGGCCGTGCGGCGCGGATAACGTCGTTGGTTCGCGATCTCTTCACACATCAGGGTTTTGGAGATAAACTTCAGGGAAGCTACAGATGGAGTACGGGAGGGTAGCACCCAAATACTAGCCTCCGTTATGCTTTTGGAAATCTTTCCACCTGAGGCCGTTAAAACGGAGTGCAAATCGTTCATAGGGGGTTCCTGCGGCGCGGCTGAGGGATGGATCCAAAATACATGCTCCGCGAACAATCGTTGTCGCTGCTCAAGCGGGATACGGAGGGTGCGCTCGATGGAAAATCCGTTGGTGTGCTCAATCCCGCCCTCGCGTTTGTTCTCCGCGTACGCGTAGGGCTCAACCGGGAGCTGCGGATTTCCTTGCGTGAGCACGTCATCCAGCCACCGCCGATCCACCAACGCGTTGATATACGGAAGAACGGTGAGAAGTTTAACGCTGCGCATGAGCGGGGCCTGAACGACCAAGATTGAGGCCTCTCGCGCCTTTGCCAGGGATGGATTCATGACAAACCCCAACCCCGCGCAAGCACGCTCCTGAGAGGGGTTTAGACGCAACCCGGTGGTGAAAAGCACCCTTCTGCGACGTAAAAGGGGAGCTCTCACCACCTCGTCGCTTTTTCCCGATTCCGACGAAAAGGGAGGGAAGGAATCAATGGAGGAGTGCTCGACTGGAGGAGGGAGGGGTGCCCGTTGAACGGTGCTCCGTTTTCGTGGAGGTCGGGTACCCCCTTGCGCAAGGGCAGCAGCTCCAACAGACGTGCGGGAGGCTTCTCCCGAAACTCGGTTTTTACGTGGACGCTTGCTGACTCGTTTGCCCACTTCGAACGCAACATTCGGGTGAACGGGCGCGGAAACGCACTCCTTTTTCCCTAAATGGGTTTTTGAATGATCAAACAGGTGTAGAACGAAATGCTTGTTCAAATTGAGCTCAATCCCTCGTTCAGGGTGATATTTTAGGTGGTAGCGGTGAAAGGGTTTCAAGGGTACCCCACAAAGGGCCTCAGTGCCTTCAGTTGTAAAGCTCACCAAGTCAAAAGATTGGCAAAGGTAAGGTTGAGCATGAGGATCTGAGCTCATCTTCACATTAGGTGGACTTAACATTTCTCTCTGAGTGAAATAAAGCGTTAATTGCATGCCCTCTCTCGGGAGACTGGCGAGATCGGTCGACTTCAACCCATGAAGACATTCCTTAGCTCCTGCATTAGCTGCTTCTTCGTTTGAACCACCCGACTTCCACTGTTGTGGTGGAAGTGAAGCACATTTAGAGATAAGATCACGATTAACAGCCAACACCAGAGCAAGACGCCGATCTGTCCAACGTACGGCTTCCTCGGGGAGCGGAAAAACAAGCCGCGCGAGGCCTTCACGAAACACCATCGGAGAGGAACCCGAGGAAGGAGTGAAACTGCCGCCGTTCGTTGTTGGAAGGTGTGCTCGCGGCGCTGAGAAGCCCCATCGAAGCGTCAGAGTAACAGACGAAGTGGGGTGCGGGTCGACCGCGTTGGAATCTACCGCCTGCACGTCGTACCCCCGAAGTGCGTATGCATGCGCTGAAACGAAAGGAAATCCGTGCAAATCGGCCGGTTCGGGGGGTTCGAGGTCGTCCTCCGAGCTCCTCGGAGACACCGTCGAGCAACTATCCCCTGTATTAAAGGAGGTAATCGTCTCCACGGAGTTCTCACGTTCGATAAGATCTTTTAACATTTCCTGTAGCCTATATTTCTGTCAAGCATCTGTATGTATATACAGATGTACCGTTTTTTTTAAAATAAATCAAGGTATATCCGAAAGGGTGATACACACAGTATTAAGAATATATGAGGAAAAAGAAAAAAATAATGGGCATTTTTTTTTTAGAAATCCAAAATTTCTAGTCGTTATTCCTTTCCCCTTTTCTGACATAATTTTACTAAATTATGGAATTCAGCACGAGAAATGGAACTCAGCCATTGATACCCTCATCTGAAGCCTTGGTCCAAGCGACTTGATGAAAAAAACTTATTTACAATGGGGAAAAAAAAATTTGGTTCTCATCATCAATACACATTTTGTGTTTAGATTTGTTACTATTCGCTTTTTAATTTTGATTTCCTCAACTTTACAAATCCGAAACAGCAAAGACGGAAATCGAGGGTATGTCATAACACGACAAGGCTATGGATTTTCCACCCGCCTCAAAGCACAAACCGGTGGGAATGACGTCGCTCAGCTGAATACTCGTCAGCCAACACACCAACGCCGCCACCTCCCCGTCGGAGTGATCCACTTTGAAGAGCTGCACGGTACCATCCTCGCCGGCGGTGGCGAGCAGATCACCCCTTCGCGCCGCATCGAAGCCGTGAAAACACGCCATGGTGTTAATCCAGCGCGCATGCGCGCAGATCTCCACGTTTCTGTGGCCGTCAGCGGTGCTGTAGAGAATGACTTTCCCATTTCCGAACGACACCGCGGCTAACTTTCCTTCGCCGCAGATCTTCACCGCCGTTGCACACTCGGACTCCGAGTCGAGGCTGGGGATAACGCAGTAGGGCTGCCTATCTTTATCCCACATTACCACATTACCCCCGATATCAGCGGAAACGATACGGGCTGGACTATAAAAGTAGTTATGGCTCGCATCCAGCGCCGTGATAGAGCGCAGTTTATGCGTATTCGTGGAACTTTTTGGGACTAAACGCGTTGTCCGATCTCCACTATCCAACGGGTCGTAATCGGTGTAGATAAGGTCCCCGGTACTCGTGCCGATGAAGAGGCAGATCATACCGGTTTTATCGAGACAAAGGCTTACACAGTTTCCAACTCCAATGCTTCTGGTAAGGGCGTACTTATCGTAAACCAAGGAAACACAGATTTTATCCGAGACGTAGAGATCCACACTTAGCTGATTCACAATCGCCACGACATTTCCGTATTGCTCAAAAAACGCGGCAAAATAGTTGATAACAGGTTCGGTATAGCTAGCGATGCAAGATAAATCCTTCTTGCCAGGAGTGCTTCTAAAAACAGTATTACCGCTGAGATACACGAACGCGTTATCACCAAGGGGGTATAAATTATTATATAATAGTGATGGAGAGTTTCGGTGTAGCGAATATTTATCAACAAGCTTTAGCTGTGGTGGCATTTTGGTTGCGATCGAACAGAAATATCCACCTACAAAAATATTGATATATAAAATAATACGGATAAATAACTGTTTAGAGAAATTTACATTAACTGCAGTTCTCCAATCTAAAAAAAAAAGATTAATGACCGAGTTGCTTCCTTTCTCTTCAATAAATAAAAAAATTAGAATGATAGAAGATGCTGGCAGGAAACAGGGAGACAGTATCAGGATAAACATGATCTTCTGGAAAGAGTGAGATACCTAAGCTAAACAGGATTGTTTTGCTTATTGATCGATATGCTCATTAAAAACATAAAGTAGAACCATTTTCTAATGTTACGTTATAAATATCACTTTTGCTGATTATTCCAACCTAGCCTCGGTAAACACAAGCAAGCAAAGACTTGAGCCGCACCAAGCCAGAGAAGACCGACAAGGGAATAATACGTCATTGGAAGATCTTCCAACACCGCAGTGGGGATGCGGAAGCACAGAGGATTTTTGTTAGAACTCTTGCCTTCTCCGAATTCCCTTGAGGTCCAAGATACTTGTAGATCATGAAGACAGCTGCTTTGAAAAGCATCATGTCTGCCGTGCAGCAACACTTTGGGAGAAAAGGACCCATCTTGAACATTTGAAGAGCGAATCACATCCGGGTAGCGAGCATGAATTGGAAGGATAAGTTTCCCCCCCTTGAGAAAGTGCACGGCCGCGCTCTCCACAGTATCCAATCGCTCAAAATTAAGGACTACGGTGGCGTTATGGTAAGGTAGGTGAAACGAGGGCGCCTCGATGTCGAAGTCCACCTCCGACTCAACCTGCATAGGGGCGTAGCAGTGAACAAGATTGATGGTTTCCTTTTTCCGACTCGCTTTTCCCTCGTCCGACACGTCTTCAGCAGTGATCACGTAATGAAGACGGATTTCTTCAATATCAAAGAAAAATGTGTTATCAATCGTCATGGACACACGGACCGTATCAGCCCAGGTAGGGAAGTCCAGAGCCAATTGCATATGAAATCCACCACCAATAAACTCCCAAGAGGGCTGATGAATCCACTGTGGATGCCGATCGTGGGCATTTGCAGAGTCCCCTTGTGCTACACAAAGAAGTAGTGCAAACAGTAAACACAACACTAACCCAAGGAATGAACCGCGCTGCATTGATAAAATATCTATAAAAGAAATCAAAAGAATTTATCTCTAAACCGTGTGGAAAGGAAAACTGAAAATGGAAAAGATCGGGTTAAAATACTATGCGGAAAGTACTTATAGTCATGAAAATAAATATCTTCACTCGAGCCACCGTTCTTACTTTATCCGTATTTTTTTGGACCCATAAACATTCATTCATCACTTTCTTAACGACAGTCACGTTACCGTTTAATGGTAAGCAATAATTTTAATACTTAAGGTTTTCATTCCCTCTTCGTATGTTTCACCCCTTTCTCTCAAAAAAAAACGGGATGGATTTCCAACCACCAAACCTCAATCGTCTGTGCGAACCCAAAGAGAGAGAGAGAGAAAAGAAAAAAAAAGGTAAATAAATACCGCGCGTTACGCTGCGACGGCGGGTTTATTCATGCTCGTCGTCCGTTCACCACCTCCACGCCGATGGTGGTGGCGATGCCCACCAGTAGAAGGGGCGGTGGCGCCGCGAACCCCTGCGCCTCCGCCGCCTTGCCGCCGCACCATCCGCACGGCGTACCCCACGTTAACCATCGGCACGCACGCCAAGGCGAGAAGTTCCCCCCAATACTCCCCTCTTCCCCCTCCGATTCCCCGCCCAATCCCCGCTCCAATCACCCCACAAAGAGTGGTGGTTGTGTGCAACACCACCTGCGTGAGAGCGGCAGTTTTGATATCCTTTATTTGCCCTCCCCCTCCTCTTCCTCCCCACACGAGGCGGGCGAGATCGACCACGACGTTCGCCGTCCACGCGATTACCCGTCGTTTCATCACATCTTCCACGGCCGCAAGCGGGGCGACGTCGGCCGTAACGAAATCCAAATCCGCTTGCGAAGGAGAAGGCCCTAACAGCGTCGCGAGAAAACGAGGAACACAAAGAAGTTGAAAGAGTTCCCCGACATAATGGGTGTGTAAACGAGGGTAGAGATCCCACACATAGACGACGCTATCCGCAAAGGCCGTCTGGCGTTCGATCAGGACGCAGGCGAGGACCGTCTCTAGCGCCACCCGCGTCAAACGATCCGCAAAGGCGATCAAATTTGTCTGCCCGCTCTCCACAAAAATCGTCATCAACTCCTTCATTGAGATGTCATCCCCTTGGTTGACGTGCTTTTCCAACTTCTGGTTGACACTGGTGAGGGTGGGAAGCAAGAAGCCGACCGTAAGGACTAGAGAGGACGTGTTGGTGTGGAAACGCGCCTTACAAAGGGAGGCGACGGTGTAGCCATGCGCCGGGAAGTTTCGGCTGTGGCTGGAAGGGAAGAGATAACCCGTCTTTGCACCACGTAGCATTGTGCTCTATTGGTCTCTATTGAGAGTCTTGGATAGTTTTAATGTGTATCGATGGATATAAGAGTATTTTTTTTCCTTTTCGAAGCTCGTTCCCTTCCCAAATGTTTCGGATTCTCTCAATCTAACACGCGGGTAAACTTTTAAAGAATATGCTGCCTATAATGTATCGGATAGAGATACTTCTAGAAAACAAATACCTTTCCTTATCACTGACCGAAAAAAAGGTTTAAATAGAAGACGATCACTCTCGAATATCCGTAATATGGATGTATATATAGAGAGAAAAATAAGACGAAAGAAAGAAATAATCAAGGTAATCCACCAACCATCCTGCACAATCAGGAGCTTAGGGATGATAGTTTATGTTGAAGGTGTATCAACATGTTTTTTCCATTTTTTTCCGTATTGTCTAACCCTGGAGGAAAATAGTCTCGCAATAATTTATATAGAGTAAAAACAAAAAACAATGGCAATAGTACAGAAAGGGTAAACTTAAATTAGTCTTACCTATTTAATATCGCATTTATCTATGTCGTTCACTAATTCCCTTGTGAAGAATGAAATCACTTTCAAGAAGAAAGGAATAGGAAATCAATACCTAGGTAGACCGGCGTCGCCTAAGATCTTTTAACTCTATCCTCCCCCTCCCCCTAGTCTCACATTCTGAACACTTGTTTTTTCCTTTGTCTGGAGTTTGCTCAGGAGGTGATATGGATCGCCCCGAACGCGTCCGGGCACGCAGCGCTGCCGGAGGCCGCCACCTCCTCCACGGAAAACGCACGAGCTGGCGCTGCCGCCACTGTGGCGCCCGCCCCTCCCTTGCGGTCTTCCGCGTTTTTAGCGATTCCCACGCTTTTCACGTTGATCACATTCTTCACGTTTTCCGTATTTTCCGCGCCCGGGGTGGTGATCTTCGCGAGGAGGGCTTTCATCCGGCGGAGGTCCTCACGGTGGGCAGCGAGCCGCTCAACCTCCTGCGTCCGTCGTCGCAGCCGCTCCGTGAGCTCCGCGCGCTCCCGTTCCCCCCTTTCCAGCCGCTCCCGCAGCCTGTCGTTCTCCTCAGCGAGCCCTTCCACGCGTTTCTCCAGAAGCGTATAAGGGCTTCCGGAGTTGTTGAGCGCGGCACGAGCGGCCTCGAGGGCGTTTCGGAGGCTCGTGAGCTGCCGATCCTTCGCCGCGACGTCGTGGCGGAGGGCGACGAGGTCGTTCTCCAGCCGCAGGCAGCGCCGCGTGACGGTTAACGCGTGGCTGAGTTTGCGAGAAGGGGGGAGAGCGATCCACATGGAGGGGTCCACCCCACCTCCTACCCCTTCCTTTGTGACCTCCCCCTCCCCGCAAGGGGGGACCAAAAACGGGGATCCAACGGAAGCACCAACCCCGGGCTCCGGGATCCCCGCCGCGAGATTCGAGATAAAAAGCTCCGACTCCATCTCAAGATCACCCAAGGCTTTTAACTTTTCATTCGCCGCTTGTAAAGCGCTCTCCAGCTCGAGGATCCGCTGACGGTAGTGGAGTTTTAGCTCGTAGTATTCGGACTTGAGAATGTCTAGCTTTTGCTCGCTGCACTCCGCGTTGGCTTTGTAGCGCTGTGAGTCCAACTCTGCTTCTTCTAATTGGATGGAAAGGCGTGCAACCTCGTCGGTCTTTACCTGTGCCGTGAGCTTAGCCGTGAGGAACTGCTCCTGATCTAGGAAAGCACCTTTCAATCGTCCTTCCATATCCTTAACAGTGGTCTCTAACTCAAGTATGCGGGCCCGCTGATTACCGACTTCTATTAGTTCCTTAGAGCAGCGCTTCTTCTCAAAATCCAGAGTTGATTGGAGTTCTGCAATTTGAACCTTCAAATCCCTGTTTTCCTCATTCAGTTGGTCCACTGACGTCCCGAGTTCAGCAGCGCGCCTTACCGCCGCCTGTGAGCTTGCCTGAAGTGAGCCTAGCTGCCGGTATACGCCAAGTTTTACCGTATCAAGGAGATCTCGTTTGGCCTCTGGAAGTGCCTCAATGGAGTTGTATTCTTCCTTCGTTATCGGGTTTGCTAACTGGAGCTGGATGTTTGCTTTTAAGCTTGCAACCTGACTCTGCGTCGCAGCGAGCTGCTGCTGGAGCTTCAGCGTCAGTGACGACACTTCTAATTCACGTGATTTAAGTTTCAGATTTTCCTCTTGGAGGAGTCGTATCTCGTTTCGCTGACGATCTATGCGTTGTATGAGTTCTTTTGGCGAGCTTGGAAGCCGTCTAAGTACTTCTTCATAGTTCCGTGAGCTTATTTGGCGAACACGTGAAAGAGAGCTACCTTGACTTGCATTCGAGTCGCTGCTATTTTCGTTAGGCGCCAACGCTCCTTCAGAGTTAGTCTCTGTCTGTGAAGTCAAAGCAATGGATGACGGTGGCATGACTATCTATTTGATAACAATGCAGCTCCGTAGTCAATATAAAAACACCAGAGATACTTTTTTGCGCCTCAAACAGGCCTATTGCTATTACTATATGAAGCTGTGTGTGTGTGCGTGATATGGAAACAATACGCTTTCTAAGCCTTTAAGCCCAAAGGGGAAAGGTATGAAAGCGAGTTCATAGTCAATTTAAGCCTGCATTCATTCATCACCTTTTGGCATCGTAACTTTAAAATACAACAATATACCAAAAGTAAAAAAAGTTCCGATACAAAAATAATGTTTTGTAGATTAATAGTACTATGAGCTACCCCAAAGGCTGACAAGTTCTGCATGGACTCAGCCCTATTCGAGCGGCTTCTTCCAATGTTGTCTGCTTGATAAATCTTTTGATATGAAAGCAAACATCACGATGAAATGCAATGCCATTTCGCGTGACATATACAGTCTGTTGAAGCGGGGCAATACTCCATATGTTGCGTCTCTTTTGTATTGCTAACCTCTGTGCCGATAACAATAAATCTCGTCTTTCAAGAAGGTCAGAACCATGTGGGGCATAAAAAAACGCTAGTCCATCCAAGACAAGGGCAACATTTATGCAAAGATAACCTGAACCTTGTGTGTATTTTGCCACAAAAATATAAGCCAGCAAACGTTTGTATTTATCATACTGATTTTTCGGGTCAGTTGATGTAAATAGCCATACCTCCGAGCCTGGAGGACAATGTTTTTTTACAAAATTGGTGGATTCCACAGCGAACGGCTCACGAGGTGCCAGCTCCGGAGTGTCGATACCAATCAAGCGAACTTTTTGGAGGGATCCATCATCTTGAACTATGGTCAGCGTGTCTCCGTCGTAAACACTGTGGATGTGGGCTTTTTTCGAGGAATCTGGTAAGCTACTTAAAACACTCATTTGGCCTGTGCCCGCGGTTGAAACACCGCGAGCGAGTGGATTCGCAAAGGCCAATTCTTCTTCATAAGCGATTATTGTCTTTCTGTACTTTTTTTCATTAGGGTGACCCTTTACCCTCGTTGAAGAACAACAATTACCCATTTTTGAATTTACTAGATAATATTACAGCTATCATAAGGATACGTACGTTCACATACATATACAATTTTTATGTTTCGGGAAAAAATGGAGCTATGAGAGAGAAACAAGGTTCAAACCAGTGATAAGAATTTTCAAATTAATCACAGTAGCATCAAAGGAAACTCAAATTAATAAATACAAATGACCACACATTTGCTTTTCCATATGTGCACGACTTTAAAAGTTCATGGAAAAGGTAGCAAGGAAGGAGTATTTTTTAAAACCTATATCCCAATATAGTGTTAATATCTAAAAGATGCGAATAAACAAATATTGCGCTATTAATATCTCCAATGAAAATTTATGAATATCAATCCTTAATACGAATCTCCTTTTAATCTTTCAATGGACTGATTTTCATTGACAATATCAACACCTGAACTAGTTCCGATACGACGTACGCCTGCTTCAAGATACTCCAATGCAGAGTGCCGATCACGCACACCGCCACTCGCTTTTACTAGCGCCTCGTTTCCCACCACAGCCAACATAATATCCAAGGCCTTTGGAGTTGCACCATGTGTGCTAAAACCTGTTGATGTCTTCACAAAATGCGCGCCAGCAGCCACCGATAGAACACACGCATCAATGATTTCCTCATCCGTCAGCAAGCACGTCTCTAGAATCACCTTTAAAATGACCCCCCTTTCCTCACATATTGTCCGTATCAGTGAAATTTCCCTGTAAACATACCCGTAATTTCTATCCTTGAGTTCACCTACATTAAGAACCATGTCTATTTCTTCTGCGCCATTCTTAATCTCTTCAGTGGCTTCAGCAGCCTTCATGGCGGTCGTCATTTGACCGAGAGGGAATCCACAGGTACCGCAGACCTTGACTCTATTAGCATCGCTTCGCAAGAGTAAGGCGCGACAAAAAGCAACTCTTGATCCATTTACACAAACAGTTTTAAAATTATAACGCTGGGCTTCAGAACAGAGTTTAACAAAAGAATCTTGATCAGCGTGTGGATGAAGTTGAGTGTGATCAATAAACTCAGAAAGATGAGTTTTCAAGAAATCAATATTCAAAGGCCGACGCCAAGAACCATCTGTGCAGTTCAAATGAACAAAACGCTCCTCAAGCTGTAAAAGATCAAGGGCACGGGAAAGGAAAGAAACTCTATTACGTATTTTCTCATTTAAAAGGCCCATGTACCCTGGATACTCCTTCATCTTCAAAAGAGACATAGAAAAATAATTAAATAATATCTATAAAAGAATAAAAAGGAAAAGATAAGAAATAAAATTAAAGTAAGCACAAAGTCAAATTAAAACAATAATATCAGAATGAATGAAATAAACGCATAAATACAATTTTAAAAGAAATAATAACGAAAAATTAACACCATTATAACACTGGGACCGATTAAAAGCGTCATTAGACCACCATAGATAGACAATAAATGTACGGATTTAGCCTTTTAAGACCTGAAAAATATCCAAAACAAATAAATATTTTTGTTTTCCCCATCGATTCAACGAGCCTGTAGACACTGATAAATTTATACTAACAAATAAAGATTGGATTCTGAGAAAAACATATGCATAGATACGGGTTTATTCTATAGAGACCCTACTCTTACTTAGATCGCACTTTTCTTGATGAAGTCATTAAATGCTTTTACCTCTCGCTCACCATCGTATTCGATACCCCTCTTATTATCTTTACTGAAGAAAATCAGCGTAGGGTAGCCAGACACTTCATAGTCGTTTCCGATTTCTTCATGCTGGTCTGCATCAATGCGTGCGATAACAACATTGCCTGAGGAGTGGTACTGCGTTGCAAGCTCCTCCCAAGCGGGCGTCATGCGTTTGCAGAACCCGCACCACGGCGCGTGAAATAAGACGAAGACGTTTTTA